CCCCAAAACCCCAAAACCCCAAAACCCCAAAACCCCTAAATCAATTATAAATATTGAAAATTCTTCAAAAATATATGGACATCGACAGCTTGCATGAAATGGAATATAATAAGGCTACTGATAGCACCTTCAGGTTGTTTGCAGACCTTCGGCGTAACTTCGCCTCTCGTGAGACTTACAAATAAGCTTATACTCATGACATCTCCTTCAATGACAATTAAGCAGTTAAAGCAGAAGGTTGAGATGGAGTTTGCAGAAATATTTCCAAGAGAAGAACCTTACTTCGTCGGAAAGATTGATGACACCAGTGGATACACTCTACCAGCAGATTCCTTAGTCGGGGATCATTTCAAACAAGGAGACAATCTTGTTGTATGGCCAAGGGCTGATTATGAGGACTTTCCTCACACCTACTCTAAAGAAAGTGCAAATGATCTGGTGCATACTCTAAAGAACGTGCATTACTCTTTGGTGTCAAAGATAAGTGATTCATATATTCAGGAGTACACAGACAAAGTTGAGTTATTGAACACTGTCCTTCCGTTAGGTCTTTCTGAAGATATCCCAACAATTCAGAATATTTGAGTTATTCTTAATAAAATAGTCTCTAAAGATGTAATAGAAATCATGGATGAAGAAGAGAATTCAAGTATACTTGAACTCGCTGTCCTTGTAATGCAAAATTGGATCATGAAAATCATTGAGGAAGACAAATTTATCATGAATAATGCTCTTATGATCCTAGAGATGTTCATAAAGTCATGGAGCTTCTGAAGTAGTTTTAAAAATAGACCATGTGTTGAGAAATTAGTAAAACTTTCAAAGGAACCCTTACTCCCAAGCTCAACTAAAACCCAGATTATAAGAATCGCATCTTCTCTGACAAGCTCTATCTCTTTAGACTCTCTCAGATATTACACACTTGCAAAATTTGAGAACTCAAAAGGAGGCTCTAAGGTCAGTAAGGATTTGAATTCTCTGCATCGGACAATCAAGGATACCTATCCTCTCTCTGGAAGGAACTCCACATTTAGGAAAAGTATGAATATCACTGAACAGAACCTCCTTACGCCCTATCCTCAGAAGAAATTTATTGGGAGCTTAACCGATACAGAGAGGGACTTCAAAAAAACACTAAAAACTTCGTACAGTAAATAAAGAAATTGATGACATTAGAAAGGATGGAGAACGAAGAGTCTACTTCAATAGGATCCCTACTCCAAGACAAGCTATTTCAAAGATTTTAAGACATGATATTGAAGACATCAACAACAGGAAGTTAAGAGAGTTGGCTGATAAAGATTCCTTCTTTGCTAATCCATATAAAGTTACCTATTTTAAAGATGCCTATCCTCTACTAGATAAATTGCCACCTGTGAAATTTCATTATTCTGGTGAACTCCTTGAAGATTACTGACAAATGCTTCATCCTGAGATAAACAACAGAGATGTGATGGGCTTTGCCATACATAATGTTGATAGAATGCTCCCAAATGCAATGAAAGATATTATGTCAGACCCGAAGAGATTCTTAGCGGTCTTTAGACTCTTTGAATACTATAACTTCCCAAAAGACGTTAGGTCAGCTCAACTGAGAATAATGGAATCAATGTGCAAGAAAATGAACCAAGAGAGAGCCCAAGATGCCATTATGGAAGATTGCTTGCTTAGGGTAGTTAGAGCTTATAAATTCCATCACCCAAGCTTTAGGAATACACTGGTTGATTTCTTATATGCAGTTATTGATAAAGCAGGCAGTGAAAATCTTGATTTGCCAAAATTAATCAACCTCACTCTTTGTGAATACCCAGCAGTTCAGGAATGAGGAATGAAAGCTATCTGTATGATGAGCGTTCCAGAAGAGATAGACAAATTTGGACTCCGCTATGAGAAAGACAGAATTGACGTTGCTTTTCATGTTCATATTCCATATCTTATCGATTGAGGGAAATCTATCACCCATTCCACTGATTTCAAGAACTATGCACTGCAAGCCTTAGCTAATCTTTGTCAGAGAGCATATCTAAAGCCATATGTGCTTTATAATGATGGAATAGGGTGATTCCTTGATGCATTGAAGAATGAACACAATCTTGCAGGAAGAAGGATAGCAGCCAAAGCGCTTGCACAACTTGTTGAAGGTAATTCTGAACAAATAATTCTTATAGGGGATGAAAAGTTAAGAGTCAGAATCATCACGAGTTTGAGTGAAGAAGTTAAGCAAACATGGATGCATGAAGTTGACTCTGTGATCGGGGTTTATATTCGGAGGATCCTGAGAAGTGATACTTAGACAAAGTTGTTATAATAAATTTCAATTATAGTTTCCCTATTAGGGGTTTTGGGGTTTTGGGGTTTTGGGGTTTTGGGG